CGCCTCCACTCCATCCTGCTGTTTTTTAGTTTTGCACAACCTCATTATTGTTATATTTCTTATGATTCATTCATTATGGTTAAAAATACAACGCAAGCTGTTTCAATTCTTCTAAGTGATTTGCCTAAGTGTGTGTTTCAGTGATTCCTCATAAGATTGGTCGAATAATCGAGGACAGTCCGACTGACCGCTGCGGATTGCTGAATGTGGGTGACCGCATATCCTCTGTGAACAGCCAGTCCATTGTGGCGCTCTCCCACAATGATATTGTTCAGCTTATCAAAGACGCAGGGAACTCTGTCACACTCACCGTGGTTCCTGAGGATGGTGAGTGAGATAATGAAATGTCACATAAATACTGCCGGAGCACATATTCGTGCTTTCTCAAACTGTGCCTCATACTTTGATTTGTCACACTTGGGCAATAATGTAACTTACATTGAAATGCTAATAACCAAAGCGAAAATGTATATCAATTATGCATGCATATTTAAATTGAATGCTTTATAAAGGGCACTTAGACCAATTATTAGCCTATTTCAACTATAAAACATGAATATACAAAGTTAATTTATATCTGTCATGTTTAATACGTTTTAGTTCACATGTATGAATATGATACAATAAAATAGCATTAATTGGCACAGGCTTTTGCAGTTCAAATCTTCCAGATGATATTGTGAAACATTAATCAGTAATATGTCATATTACACAGGGCTCTAGACTCATTCTTCCAACTTTTTCAGTAAGAAATAAAAACCATTCAGTTCAGTTGGACAACAGATGCTACAATTGTAAACTGAAAGTGTCAGCTCTGCTCCATCCAGTGTGCACTGTAGAGCAAAGTGCGGCAGAAGTCAGATTTCACTGATCAGATGAAGAGAGTGAGAGGCGCTTTCAGTGAGAGCGCTTCAAGTCTACACAAGCACGCAGGTGCGCGCGACAAAAATGATGAGGAAACTATAGCGGACGTGGCATATGTGACCATTTTGGTCGCAGTCTAGAGCCCTGTTACAGAAGTGTTGCGAATGCAGTTTCATGAGGACTTTTAACACTTGATGTTTATCATTTCATATGACAATCTGTTTTGATTTGCTGTTTAGAATACAAAGGCCCGCCATCAGGAGCCAGTTCAGCCAAACAAAGTCCCGCACCGCAGCACAAGATTCTCAAATCCACTCAGGATGAGAGGTGCAGTCCACTATTATATATTTAAGCTACTTTAAATTTACTCATTTTCTCTGTATATTTGTTGTAAATTAATTGAAATTCTACAGCCATATAGCTAATAATAAGCTCTAATCACTTATGGAGGATTTAAGCCACAGTTCTGGTTTATAATATGTGTGACTTGTGCACAGATATAATTTGGATATGGATGAGATCAGGGATGAGCTCGCACGGATGGAGTATAAAGCTCTTCCCATGAGTGAACAGGGAACGCTGTGTGTCGCCAACTCCAAACAGGCAAGAGTCACACTTACATCACAAACTGTACCTAAACTTTATCTAAAGATAGCACATCTAGGGTAAGTTGATGAAAAATGCAATTAAAAAATGTTTAAACGCTGCATGGAAAATAATGACATTATACTAAGTATTTAAGCCAAGACTAAAAACTACAATGGAAAATCAAAATCACATTCACTGTCATTAATGCCGAGTTCACACTGCACGATTTTCAAAGACGTCGCATCACTGTTGGTTTCACACTGAATGACTATCTGGGGTAGCATTCAGTTGTTGCTGTGTTCACACTGCACGACTTTACAATAGGAAGAATTGCCGACAGCTCTGTCTGGTGCAGGGTTGCCAGGTTTTCGCTACAAAACCCACCCAATTACTACTCAAAACTAGCCTGAAAATAGCCCAATTGCTTTCGAGGGGGTCCCCCAGTAAAAATCGCATTCGGGGGGTAAAATACAATTTTTTTTGGTGGGGTTCTCCTGGTACAATTCACATTCCAGGGCCTAAATATCACATTATTGGGGTCGCTTCAACCTGCTGACATAAAAAACAACCGGCGGCAATCGCGGATTTGGCAACACTGGTCCGCAAACTACGTTTCATATAACTCCTCCCCGAACTTCCTGCTGCCCTGTATCTTGGTCTCTCATTGGCTGTAAGTCATCGCCGATGTGGTTTTCAGTCAGAACTCATTGCACACAGCGTGATTGTGAATCGCCGACAGCTCCAGATATTTAGCATGCCAAATATTTCACGGGCGTCGGCGACGCATCGGCGATTCCCTCAGATCGCGTCTTTGATAATTCACACTGCGTGATTGTCACTCGCGTGAACGAGCACCGATTTGCCTCCGATTTCGGGCATTTGTCGGCGATTTCACAAAACCTGTCGGCGAGTGAAAAATCGGGCTAAAATCGTGCAGTGTGAACTCGGCATTAGTCCAGGGTTTAAATGTATATTAAAATATAAAACAGTTATTTTAAATTGTAATAATAATTCACAATTTGTAATTGTATTTTTGACCAAATAAATGCAGCTTAGTTAAGCATAGGAGACTTCTTTCAAAAAATGACCTAAAACTTTTTAACGGTAGTGGATATATGTATTTTCTACCTAGGGCTGTATTGCAGTAGAGTTGGAGCGCAGACCTCGTGGTTTTGGCTTCAGTCTGAGAGGAGGAACGGAGTATAACATGGGCCTCTACATCCTGCGGCTGGCTGAGGATGGCCCCGCTCTACAGGATGGCAGGATACATGTCAGTACAGCACAACACTCTTTAATAACTCAAGCGTTGCGGATGGAATCTGCTGACTTTTTTCCATCTTCTGCAGTGATTTTGGGGAAACATCTGCAGAGTGCATTTAAATGTAATAAAAAGGTTTAAGGAAAGCTGAATACCTTTTTATACTCAAAATATTTCAAACTAGGATGTCTTGAGAAGCTGTTTTCAGTTCTGTAAAGTCCAACAGCAAAAGAAGTCAAGTCACCTTTATTTATATAGCGCTTTATACAATACAGATTGTGTCAAAGCAGCTTTACAGTGTTAAACAGGAAAAACGTGTGCTGAGAAAGCAAGATCACAATAGAAAACAGTCAGTTTATCAGTTAAAGTCAGGTTGTTATTGATTCAGTGATGTCATCGTCCAGCTCAGTTCAGTTCTCTTCCAATAGTGTCTGTGCAGTCAAGTGACAGAACGCTTTTCATGGGTTTGATCCCAGGAAATGCATGAAAAAATGTATAGCTTGAATGCAGTGCAATATGCTTTGGATAAAAGTGCCAAAAGTGCCGATTATATGTAAATGTTAATTGACTTTCAAGGCCAAATCAATCATCATCTTCCTGCTTGTGCTGCTTGTGAGGATTTTCAGTGGCGGATGCTGTATGAAAAGCAAGACTGATATTTTGGACTTTAAATAAAATCATCACCTCTTATGGCCTGAACAAGAGATCAATAAGATATTTCAAGAATGATAAAACACATAAATGACCTTATGCCTGAATGTGCAGGTAGGAGATCAGGTAGTGGAGATCAATGGAGAACAGACGCAAGACATCAGTCACACTAGAGCCATTGAGCTGATCCAAGCTGGAGGAAACAAAGTGCTACTGTTACTGCGACCGCAAGCCCTCTTATCAGAGAACAGTGAGTTATGACACACAAATACATGATGATGCTGCTATACGTAAGCATACTGCAAGAACATCAAGACAATATGGGTTGCTTGCTAACTTCAGCTTTCTTTCTTTCTTTCTTTCTTTCTTCTGTGCAGGTTGTGTAAGCTCCTCTGCGGTGTGTTATTGCCCCCAGGAGTATCATCACTAACAGCCTCTTTTCCTCTAGGTCTTTTATTCTTTGGTAATGGGACTTTCACTACACTTTCTTTGCTCCTTAATTACTAGTCTTTTCTCTGCTTTATTGTGTAAGTTTTTAGATCTGTAGAATATGTTCATGCTCTTTGCAGTCACAACACCATGGAGAATGGTTTCACTCAAAACCAAATAAAAATATGACATATAATTATATACATTATTTTTACATACTAAATATTGTTTTACATATTGTAATATATATTTTGATTTTTAATTTTCCAATTTATTTAAAATTATTACAACCATCCTGGGGTGTGTTTCCTACACTCACTGCTTAACTTGCATAGTATGAAGAAATCAACTACTTAGTCACAACTGTTTCCTGAAACGAATGATGTCATGCAGGTGGTAGAGTAATAACTTCTTTTAATTAATCCATTTGAGATTGAATTAATGCCAGATTTTTGGCTGTAAATTATGGACATGGCATCTGAGGGCGAATTATCTTTTTCTGAATTATTTAGCTTTATTTCCAAATTCAATCATTGGCTCTTTCTTACGTACTAGAGCACATATGCACATGCACTCTTCAAAAATGGTGCTTTAAATCTCTTGACAAACTAAAAGACATAAATTAAATTTGTATGTATTAGAAATGAAATATATAGACTG